GAGTGAGTGAGTGAGTGAGTGGGTGGGTGTGTGAGTGGGTGTGGGAGTGGGTGGGTGCGTAGGTGTGTGAGTGGGTGTGTGTGTGTGTGTGTGTGTGTGTGTGGGTGTGTGGGTGTGTGGGTGTGTGGGTGTGTGGGTGTGTGGGCGGGCGGGCGAGCAGGTCGGCGGGCGGACCGACGGGAGGCGGGCGGGCCGCCTGCCTGCGGGGGCGGGCGGGCTGGCGGGCGGGCGTGTGCATGTTTGCAGGCGTGCGTGGTTGCGATTGGCGCACGGTAGGACAATGCAGCTGGCCCTGATGAAATCTTACTTCCCACACGCTCCGGGTGCCTTCAAGTCAAGCAGTGCGAGATTCCCAGAGCCCCGGAAAATTTGGACAACAACTAGCCCGCTCAGCTCCTGCATGGGCAGTTTCCCGCCCTGAGGTAGTCAAGTAGAGCCGAACGACTCCTTGGAAGCTGCTCTTTCTCAGCTCCTACTGGCTGTTTGTTTTTCTCACAGCCGGTCCCCCACAGCAATAAAGCTGGACTTTAGCAGCATCAAATTGAACTACTAAACTAAGCCGCCAATCAGCAAAGTCCACTTAAGTAAAACCCCAAAATCCAAGGTCTGGACAGGCTATCGGAAATGCTACCGCTGGCTCAAAGGAGGGGTCAGCCCCTCAAGTCCTTGACTGAGGATGTGGCCGCCCAGCCAGAGACGGGGTGGATGGGTCGGTCGGTTTGTGGGTGAAGGATGTTGTGTTGTGTTTGTTTTATTCGTTCGGCCCTCCGGTCGGTCGTTCGGTCGTTCGGTGGTTTTGTCGTTCAGTCGATCTTCGTTGCTGCTGCTGACGCTGCTGCTGCTTCTGCTGCTGCTCACGCGGCTGATGTTGCTGCAGCTGTAGTTACCAGTTGCTGTTGCTGCTGTGTCTGTTGTTGCTGTCGTTGTTGTTGTTGTTGTTGCTGCTGCAGCAGCTGCTGCTGGTCTTGTGGTTGAACTTGTCTCATAGCAATCGCCATACCAACAGCAATAGCAATAGCCATGCTCGGGTTTTGAACCTCATTGGGCCCAGGAAGGGCAATGGATTTATTTCGTTGTTGGGTTCGGGAGTTTAGCGACCTCGAGACTCACATGTAATAATAGGTTGTAAAGGCTCTGAAGAGGGAATGCGGTTTGGGGTCTCTTAGCTTTGAGTCGTGTGAGTTGCAGGATAGCCCGGAGATTGGCTTGCTGTGCTTTGCGAGGGTTGAAGAGGGCAGGGGTAGTTGTAAGAGCACGATTCCTTGCACCAGCCCGAATCACTGCCAGCCCAGGCCAGCACTCCTCAGAAAGCATCGCAGAAGAGCAAGTGACGGCTTGCCGGAGGCGTAATGGAGGGCCGAGAGTTGCAGAACGGTGATCATCTTTGTTTGGGTGGTTGACTTGGACACCTGTGCTCCCATCCTTCAGTTTCCAGGGCTCATTTCTGGATCAAGTACCAATAAGGCTGGGCTTGTGGTATCCTTGTCCGCCAGATGTCAAGCCCTGAACATTAGGCATGCCCAATTGCGATTGTGCAAGGCACTGGGTGGGCAGTGGGTCCTCCTTCAGACGTTGAGGCGGCTTGCCTCGGGTTAGTTGGAGGAGCTTGGGCTTGAGTCAAGAATCTCGTGTTTCAGTCAGCTGGGCACTGAAGGCTCCAGGGCTCAGATTTGGGTGTGGGATATTCTCGACGGACCAGCGCAATTTCAAGGCCCAGGAGACGGGGGAAAACATGCATTCAGTGTTTTAGAGCTACGTATTGGCCATTATTCTCGCAGCCAGTATTAACTATTGGTTTACATTTGGTGTTCCACTTACCCGTACCGCAAGGATGATGTGAGTAGAACCTACTTTGAGCTCTTTGCGATGACCGTTTCTGCTTACTCGTCTTCCTAATTTTTGGTTGCGACCAAGGCGCCTTGTTGTGGATATAATGGAGGATGGGGGCTTTCAGCTTAGGGACCCAGCGTGTATGGAACGGTCGAATGCCCGGAATCTCGACAAGCCAGCCCGGCTGACTAGCCCTGAAGCAACCGCAAGAGTCAGTGCGTCTTCTTTCATCTGCGGTCATCGCCGCCATACGCCTGTGCCTCTATGTACCGGGGTATGGAAGCATGTACGAGGGCATGTGTGTCCATACAAGTATGTGCGAAACGGAATACGAAGAGGTTTAAGTTTAGGCCGTGATTGGATCATGATCCTTGGTATGTTGAGGGGTCAGGGATGTTTTCTTCAAAAGCCACTCGCGTCGAGTAGCACAGTGCAAGCTGACTCGAGAGCACCAGCAGGCCTGGAGCCCAGACTAGCCACTAGTTTGGAGACTATGCCGCTGCGCCCTGATGCTCTGGCTTACCAGCTTTGAGATCGTTGCACACACACCTTGGAAGCTATTGGAAGCCGTGCGCAATCCTGCAGCAGAAGTCTTCACACAGTCTGGAGCTGCATCCTGGAAGAAAGTCGCAGGCATTGTTGGCACTCTCTTCAGTTTTGGGCAGGTGTCGGCTTCGTCGCGCAGTGGAGAGATGCACTGGAGCATGCAGAGAAGCAAGGTTCGTGACGGAGACGGATCCGGGGTCAAGACCCTGAACAGTCGGTGACTTGCATGATGCTAGCACATGCTCACAGCAACAAGACCGCAGTCGTAGAACCAACAACAAACATAGTACTAGCAATGAAACCCCTAGCCGTAGTTTTGAGCTGTGGCCGCAGCCATGGCCCATCCCGACAAGCAGATGGAGATGAAGGCCTCGATCACGTCGCAGTATGTGGACAGCGACAACGAACAGTGAACAATTAACCTACTGATATTACTGATAGTTTACTGATTATATTAACTGTATTTACACATAACAAAGTAATAAAAGATAGCATGCGCCAGCACCTCCTTGAATGTATGAGCAACAATAGCAGTCGTGGTGGCAGGTTTACCTTTAACCGCATTCGTAGAAATGAACAGTGATGCCCGAAACCGAGAGGCTGCTGCTGCTGTCGTTGCCGCAGCTGCTGTTGCTCTCCTGCTATTGCTGCTGTTGTTATTGGCTCCCATGCAATGAAAACACGCCAACCGCAGATGCCGTCCACACCGGCATGTACCGTGGTTCAGTTCGTCGAAGTGAGGAAGAATACGGCCTCGCCCCACAGTACATCGCG